TCAGTGTCATCCCATTGAGGTGAGTCTATGAAGGAAATTGGTAGCCTATTCGAACCGGGCCTTCTCAAGTAAAAGAAACTACTACTTGGTGGTACCCGGTTTGAGGGGCTACTTGCTGAAGATGATGATGATCTGTAATTATCAATTTGAGACTGTATTTCTTCCATCTTTCAAGATTCAGTTTAGATCACCACTGTATAAATTTCTAGATAATAAACCCTTAGTGAGTTAGAAGAAGCACAAACTTAAATCCTCCACAACATTTTCATAAAGTAAAGAAAGTTCAAAACTAAATACACCAAAGACTAGTTTGGTAGCACTCATCGGCCTATTTGACTTATTTTGATTTACTTGTTTGGGTAAAATCAGCTTTGCCATACGCTTTTCCTTTCTGAAGGTTCAGCAATTTAAGCCCAATAGCACTTACCAAATGGGCACTAAACCACCTTAATCAAGCAGCAAATTTTAGCAGCAAAACGCATTTTACAGAAAATCATGGGACCTGGGACCATATACATGATCGGATGCTTCTACTACTATTCAACAGAATCGTCCATTTGAGACAAACAACCATTACCTGCTTACCAAATGGACTACAAACAACTCAAATCCCATATTAAATTTTAGCAGTAAAACACATTTTACACAAGATCATGGGACTACACATAAAGATCTCATTTTTACGTTCACATTCAAGAGTAAATTTGGTCTATGCTAAAACCAAGAACCCAGAAAGCATTACCAGAAACGAATAAGTCGTAAGGAAATGGAAATGGGAACGAACTTACCAAATGAACGTCGAGAGCTCGAGCTTCCAGCTGGGTGCGAAAAATGTGCAGTCTTTAAAGGGAGGAAACGGAGAATATTAGAAGAGAGTAGCTTTATATGTTAACGTGAAAAGAAGAGAAGAGAGCAGAAAGGTGAAAGAAGGCTGGTGTGCTCTGGCTCAGAGAGAGAGAGTGGAGTGAAGGAAAAGAAAATGGGTCTCCGCGCCCGAGAAATTCCCCAAGACCCGCTTTTTCCGCTTCTCGGTTCTCCATCCTCTTTCCACCTTTGTAACTGCAATTTGAATTCGACGCTTTTGTTGGGGAAATTTTCGTTTTCAACTTACCCAAAAGCACAGGATGTTATACTTCTCTGATTCTATGTTTCTTTTGACCTCTAGGCTAGAATATTTTGGTACCAAGTTTGCCCAAGTTTAAGGATAAAATGTAGGCGTCAAAAATACGGAGTAATACAGGGAAAAAAAGAAAATAGTCTGTATCATCATACAAATACAAAAGAAAAGAAGAAAAGCAAGTACAGTTTTCTCTTTTTTATTTTTTTGTTAGCATAGGGGATTCCTATTTCAAACTAATGTTTGGTCCTCACAAGTTCAAACCAAAGCCTTTTGAGAGATGTTCCCATGATAGCTTGCTTTTAACTAACAACGATGTACCCACTTTTATACTCACCTTATATTCATCATATTTGAAAAATGTTTTTTTTTTCATGAACCCGATTCACAAACAATATTTCGTTTGTGCAAAATATTGTGTGTGAACCGGGGTTCACAGACAAAAAACACATTTCACAAACATAGATGTGTACAAAAGTGGATATATAAGAGTGAGTACAAACATCATTTTTGTTTAACTAATTAACTATATGTGTCATCATTTGAAAAAATATCTCAAATTCACCTTCTTAATGACTTGAATTCAAGATCTAAGCGCGAGAGATGGTCCCCTCTCTCAAAATAAATGTCAACATTGATTGGAGTCACATACAAACATGTGATCCCCTCTTTGAAATAGTCACCATAAGACCATTAGGTAGGAGAGCCTGTATTGTACAATCCAATAACTAGTACATGCCATTTTTTTCTGTGGCATTTTTGTAATTTAAGCGAAAAATCACGGCTTACGCTAAATGAGCAATATTGTACTTTTGGTGAGCATGTGACCTATTTTAGTGAGTATTAAGAAGCTAACAATGAGTATAATGATTTTTGCTTCATATCTTCTATTTTTCCTTTTTCTATTATTTTCTTTTATAAAAACTTATTAAATTATATATATTATCTACTCCTATTAATTTAAATATGTGATTCTAATGTAATATGATACTTTTGAAATATGCAGTTATATGACATTTAAAAAATGAGCAATAACATCATTACCAAATGAGCATTCACAACTTACAAAGTGCAGATTGATATGAAAATCATAAGGTTTGTTAGTTGAACATCACAACATTTTAACTGAGCATCAAACCTCCGTTATTGACATAATAATCATGGTTTCTGGTGAATGAGCATTAATGAAATTTTAATGAACATCAGAACAATTATGTTGAGTATTACGAGTCTAATATTAGGAATCGCGGTCTCTGCTTCATAACTTCTAATTCACTTTCTTTTTATTTATTTTTTTTATAAAAAATTATTAAATTATATCTATAATCAATATGTGAATCTAATGTAATATGATACTTTTGAAATATGCATTGAGAAAACATTTTAAAATGAGCATAATATGAGTACCGTTTGAGCATGTGTGAATTACAAAAAGAGCATTATTACATTAATATGAAAATCATAGTTTTTTTAGTTGAGTATCAAGATAATTTCATTGAGTATCAAACCCCCTTTATTGAGTCTAATATTACACCAAGATAAAATGAGCATACATACTTACAAAATGAGTATCGAAAAGAATCAAAAAACTCATTTAAAATCTCTAGTATGCTCAAATAGCAAATGAGAATGCATATAACCTATGAAATGAGCATCGAAAAAACTAAAATGAGCATTACACCAATATGCATGAATATGACATTTTAAAATGTATGGTGTAATGCTCATTTTAAAATGAGTATTATACCAACATCAAATGAGTATAGATAACTTACAAAAGGAGTATCGAAATGATATTTTAAAATTAGCATAAAACCGATATCAAAGTTAGCATTTGTAACTTACAAAATGAGTTATATAAAAGCAAAACATTAACACATAATATATTTTATAATTGAATAATACGTAGTATTAAAGTAAAAAAAACGAAAGAAAAAAGAAAAAGGAAACAAGTTAAAGCAAGAAAAGAAGAAAGAAAAGACAAAACAAAAAAAACGTGTGGTGGGCCTGGTAGCCGAAGAGGTGAAACGAAGCAGGTTACCACGATTTTCAGCGGACGAAGGCTACAGCTTTGCTCGTTGGCCGAAGAATTCGCACACCTCAGTTCCGGATGCGGATGTTGGGGCGAAGAACAACTAAATGCCATTTGATTTGTTAATAATTGCAAAAATATCAGGTTGTACGCTGGGGACCGTACAACCGGGTGTACGTTATATTTTACCAATTAGTTAGCCCGTAGTAGGTAGTTGGAGAATCACTCCTACTTGTCATTAAATATTCTCTTTAGATACATTTGTAATTGATATGAGAAATAATTTAGAGTTTCGTATCGTTTTATACTCATCGAGGAAAAATGCATCATGAGGTAATTATGATTTATTTAATCATATATAAGAGATGCAAACTATATCATTAATTAGAATTTTATCAAGGTAATATTGTCATATCCAATCTTTTTCAAAATGCAAACTGCGTTTAATATTAAACTCATGCATACCTTAATTTATAAGTTATACGGAGTAACATTTTTTGTTCCAAAAAAAAGTTATAACAATTTTATTATTTATATTGCTTCTCTTGGCATACATGTTACTACATCTATAATTCACATACGCTCGAGTGACAAATTCAAATATATTAGGGGTGATTTGGATCAAGTCGAGGCAGGTTGACTTTTTACTATGATCAAAGGAAAAAAAAAATTATCGATATTACTTTTGGACCGGGAAATCCCCAATTAACAGTTCAGATCTTTTTTATTTTGAGTTTAAACAATCTTGAGGGTAGAACTATGACGGGCACTTTGTCACGGTGCATCAAAATAAAATTCAATACTAACACTTATACGTAGTATAAGTGAAGTAGAGTTCGTATCCACAGAGAAATGAATAATTCTCTTTTTAGTAAAACTAGTAAATAAGGGGGGTTTTGGTATTGTTGGAATTTAATTAATTAAATACTAAGATGAAAGACTTATATGAGATTTAATTTAAAGATAAAAAGGACTTGGCATTGCTACTTTCCACTTGTTGATATATTTTAGTCGATCATTGTTATATATATAACTTATCCCCTCTCGAATACTCAATCGAGGAGTATATCCAATTCATCGAGAGTAGTTATTAACAACGACCGTTCATTAATAACCCTTACTATTAGTCATGTATAGAACACCGCCATATACCGACTTGATAGTAGCATTTAATCTCTTAACTCCTTGATGAAATCAATTGAGATTGATAACCTCAACACAACGGTTTCGGTTTAACCAACAAAATTAATCCCTCTTAAGTTTATTAACCACGACCACGCATTAATAAACTGAAGTTACTTACTTGTGAAACCATCAACGATTAACCATCGGTTCGTTGAACGTTTCTAGTAGTAATTAATGTTGAGATGTTAACTAATTGTCATCTTAGCAACACTCCCCAACATTAACATAGAGATAGATTAAGGGAAGAATTAATATTCAAGGAAGAAGATTAAATATGAATAATCCTACTATAACTAATGTCAAGATGTTATCTAATTGTCATCCTAGTAACACTCCCCAACATTAATATATAGAGGAAGAAAATAAATACTACTATAACTAATGTTGAGATGTTAACTAATTGTCATCTTAGCAACACTCCCCAACATTAATATATAGATAGATTAAGAGAATAATTAATATTCAAGGGAAGAAGTTAAGAAAATAACTCACAACTTTAATAATCAACAAGCTTCAAGAGCAACACCAAGAAATGGAAGTTTAGCTCCTCATTTGGAGACTAAACATGCTAAAAAAATATAAAAGAAATATTATTCTAAGTTGAGCTTAAGAGTATGGAACAAGGAGTGATTAAAAGTGAAGGAAAATGGGGCTATTTATAGGTGTTTTGAAGGTGCTGCGGCGGATACCCGGCCGGGTATTTGATATACCCGCTTGGGTATTTATCCAATCATATCTTTTTCCCACGTTCTTTTGTTCTGCAGCACGTCTTTTTGTCGCAAGTCACTTCTTACCCGACCGGGTAAATGGAATACCCGACCGGGTATTTGATGAACCTTCCCAGAATCTTTGTTTTTCACCTCATACCCGGCCGGGTAAATTCCATACCCGGCCGGGTTTTGCCCTAAACTCAGGATTTTGCATCCTTTTTGCCTTCCAAGCTTTCCTATTCTCAAACCCAACTAACTATTTCTTACAAAAAATAATTAAATGCTAGAAATACAATTACAATCAAATGCAAACTAACAAATACAAACTTTGCACAATAATAGTAAATAAACATCACAAACAATTATAAAAACGTATACTTAGGCACTAACAATTAGTGCCTATCAAACACCCCCGCACTTGAACTTTTACTCGTCTCGAGTAAATCAAAACTTGTTCATGAAGATTCCAACACAGTCATAGTAGCAAAATAATCCATCCACAGGTGTTTTTGACAATCAACATTAAAAATGTTCCGATGATCAAAAACACAAGAATAATGAGAGGTCTTCAACTTCATTTTTTCTCTCTCATATCCACCCTTAGGATCCTGCAAAAATAAAAGAGATACTTTCTCTCATTCTCTCGTTTTGCCTAGGTGCCCTTTCGGGTTTTCATCCTAGCTTCCCACATTTTTTGTTTCAATCCTCACCACTCACTCTTATTTTTGCTTTATTTTTGCTTAAGTTGCCTTTTTAGGTTTTCAACTTAACAAGCTTTGTTTTTTTTTTTAGTTGTTTTTAAATAACTCAAGAATATAGAGTATGTATGAGAGTTTTCCATGAAATTCTCCCCCCAAGCTAATCAAAGCACTATCCCTAGTGCTTGTGTCCGAGATGTCCAAGAGAATGAATCTCTTTGCCTTTTTTGGTGTCATTTCCTTTTTTTTGGGTGGGGAAGTTTCGGCTTTTGTTGTTTTTGGAGTGAGGGGGTTTGGATATTTGGTTATTTGGGGCGGTTTTTTTTGTGTGGGTGTAGGAGTGAAGATGGTGATGAGGAGATGAAGAAAATGGGGTTTTTGATGGATTTGGTGTAGAAATGGTGGGGTTTCGAAACTTTGGAGCTCAACAATGGAGATTTGGGGGATTTTTGGTCGTGGGGGAGAAGAAGAAATGGGGGAAGAAAGCTGCCCGCCCGCCCGTCCGGGTATAGTGACTGACCCGGTCGGGTGTAAGCTGTTCACCCGAGGCAGAAAGTTTTTGCCAGATCACCCGGCCGGGTATTTGGGTCTATCCGGTCGGGTAATAGTTAATCCCAGATTTTTTTTTTAATTTTTTTTTTATTTTTTTTGCACACACACTCTACTTAATAAAATGATAACAGAAAACATACCTTGTTTGGGTTGCCTCCCAAGAAGCGTCTTATTTAACGTCGCGGCACGACGCCATCATTGTGTTCAATCGTTCAAGCTTGGATCGTGATAATTCATCTTCTTCAAATTTTCACCCGGGTGACTTATAGAAATACAATATTTTTCGACCCTCTATTTGGACAATCTTTCCGGGATCAAATATCCGGATTTTTATCGCTTCATATTGTGAGAGTGAGGGTCCATGATTTTCACTAAGCATGGTCAATGGAAGGGATTTTGATCCGGGTGGTATAAGAGGGAGTATGAAATATTTGTGTAACTCCACCGTTATTCCTTGCTTATTTGTGAACAAAGAGAAGTCTAAATTATACTCACAATTGCTGAAGATTTCATAGATATCTTTTTCCTTCTCCACCCTTTGTGTTTCATTTAGAGCCTCAGGAAATGGTGGCATGATCTCAGGAATGGCCGATGGTTGAGTTGAGTTTTGAGGTTCCTCCCCTGGTTGAGCTTTCTCCGTAAGCTCCTCTTCTTCCTGCTCCTCGCTCTTGTGGTTCACAATGCTTAGCATTTGTTTCAACTGATTGTCCAAGTTCTGTTCGTTGGACACTGTTTCTTGCGGGCATTGTGACATATTTTGTTTCATATTTGTCACATTGATAGTGAGAGCTCGGATCATGTGTTCAGTGGACATGCTGGAATAAGAACTTGAGTATGGGTTATATGTGTTGGAGAATGAATCATACCTCTCTTGGAAACCAACATCATTCCTTTGTTCAAAATATTCTTTTTGAAGTTCTGGGTGGGCAAAAATCTGTAAGATGCCTTTGTGACATGCAAATGTTGCATGTATGGACATCTTGAGATTTTGAACATGAAATAAACTCCTTTATTAGAAAAGTCAAGTCGGAAATTTGACTCTCTAGGGATGATATGTTGGTATCCATATACTCATGAAATCTCAGAAAATGGACAAGTAAGATTTTTATTTATATTTTTTTGTTTTTATTTTTTATTTTGTTTTTGATTTTTATGAGATAAAATAAAAAGAAAAATAATTGCCTTTCCCCGGCAACGGCGCCAAATTTGACGGGCACTTTGTCACGGTGCGTCAAAATAAAATTCAATACTAACACTTATACGTAGTATAGGTGAAGTAGAATTCGTATCCACAGAGAACGGAATAATTCTCTTTTTAGTAAAACTAGTAAATAAGGGGGATTTTGATATTGTTGGAATTTAATTAATTAAATACTAAGATGAAAGACTTATATGAGATTTAATTCAAAGATATAAAGGACTTGGCATTGCTACTTTCCACTTGTTGATATATTTTAGTCGATCATTGTTATATATATAACTTATCCCCTCTCGAATACTCATTCGAGGAGTATATCTAATTCATCGAGAGTAGTTATTAACAACGACCGTTCATTAATAACCCTTACTATTAGTCATGTATAGAACACCGCCATATACCGACTTGATAGTAGCATTTAATCTCTTAACTCCTTGATGAAATCAATTGAGATTGATAACCTCAACACAACGGTTTCGGTTTAACCAACAAAATTAATCCCTCTTAAGTTTATTAACCACGACCACGCATTAATAAACTGAAGTTACTTACTTGTGAAACCATCAACGATTAACCATCGGTTCGTTGAACGTTTCTAGTAGTAATTAATGTTGAGATGTTAACTAATTGTCATCTTAGCAACACTCCCCAACATTAACATAGAGATAGATTAAGGGAAGGATTATATTCAAGGAAGAAGATTAAATATGAATAATCCTACTATAACTAATGTCAAGATGTTATCTAATTGTCATCTTAGTAACACTTCCCAACATTAATATATAGAGGAAGAAAATAAATACTACTATAACTAATGTTGAGATGTTAACTAATTGTCATCTTAGCAACACTCCCCAACATTAATATATAGATAGATTAAGAGAATAATTAATATTCAAGGGAAGAAGTTAAGAAAATAACTCACAACTTTAATAATCAACAAGCTTCAAGAGCAACACCAAGAAATGGAAGTTTAGCTCCTCATTTGGAGACTAAACATGCTAAAAAAATATAAAAGAAATATTATTCTAAGTTGAGCTTAAGAGTATGGAAGAAGAAGTGATTAAAAGTGAAGGAAAATGGAGCTATTTATAGGTGTTTTGAAGGTGCTGCGGCGGATACCCGGCCGGGTATTTGAGATACCCGCCTGGGTATTTATCAAATCATATCTTTTTTCCCACGTTCTTTTGTTCTGCAGCACGTCTTTTTGTCGCAAGTCACTTCTTACCCGACCGGGTAAATGGAATACCCGACCGGGTATTTGATGAACCTTCCCAGAATCTGAGTTTTTCACCTCATACCCGGCCGGGTAAATGCCATACCCGGCCGGGTTTTGCCCTAAACTCAGGATTTTGCATCCTTTTTGCCTTCCAAGCTTTCCTATTCTCAAACCCAACTAACTATTTCTTACAAAAAATAATTAAATGCTAGAAATACAATTACAATCAAATGCAAACTAACAAATACAAACTTTGCACAATAATAGTAAATAAACATCACAAACAATTATAAAAACGTATACTTAGGCACTAACAATTAGTGCCTATCAAACTACATAAGTGCATAATTTCTTTTACCTTTCATGTTGAAATGGGGTAAACCGAAATGAACTGGTTCGTACCATGATTTTCTTTTACCTCTTTTCAATACGTTCATCTTATAGTACAAACACATAAAAGATGCTTTTTTTACCATAACAAATTAAAGATACACCATAACTAGCTTTTCATGTAGCAATTAACTAATTACCTTATTAGTTAATAATCATTACAAATCTATACATTCAATCACTATAACTATAACTTATTAAATATTTGCCATGTTAGGGAGTGTAAAATATGTAGGGCTTCATATAAACTTTCATCTTAATCCATGGAGTTTTACGAACTAGAACCGTTGTAGTTTTTATTGGCATCGTTGTAGATGTCAATATGTCATTTTGATGCCATTAAAAGGGAGTGGTCAAACTCTTGAGTTCTTGAGATATCTTTATACCGTCATTGCTATCTCCAAGCTAATTAAGTACAACACCTTCTATTTCTTTTGCACTTTGATGAATATGCAGCTGCACGCCCTCCCTCAGCTCCCTCTCTTGTTTGATTTGGACGGATTCGTTGTCATCTGCCAAGATTCTTATTTCTATTTTAGCATTACTTTGAAATGTTGGAGAATTAAGATCATTTTCTCTTGAGGTGTCTTTAGAATATGCAGATTATTGAGTTCAGGATCACGATCTCCCTCAATAGTACATGATAGTTAAAGCAGCTCGGAGAATTAGAAATAGCATAGACACCTTTATCCAAATTGAGGTGCACACTTTTGGGTAGGGGTGGGCAAACGAGTACCGGAACCGCGGGTCGGGCCGGGTAATACAGGTTAGGGTCGGGTCCTAATTTTAGAAAACCCGAACGGTTCGGGGCGGGCGGGTCCTGAAAAACTTAGGAACCAAACGGGTCTTAAAATTTGAAACAACGGGTACCCAGAACGAACCGTTTTAAAATATTATTTTTCTAATCTCTATTATATTTAATTTAATATTAGTATAATACTATAATATAATTAATATACTAACAAGACATGAAAGCTTTTGGTGTTCTTGTGTCTAGACAAAAACTTCCAATTAAAGGAACTTTTCTCACTCCACTAAAAATAGTTTCCAAGTCCGTATAATTAAAATGCTAAATTATTTTTCTCTAATCTCTATTCCAAATGCAATAAACTTTATTTCTTTAATATTTTTTGTAAACAAAGACTCTTACTCAATGAAGTGTGACATATTCATTTAATTATCTTAATTTTACTTATACTTGGAGATTTAATAAGCTTTAAATTATTTTCAAAGACAAATAGGTATAGTAACTAGTTTAATTTCTTATGAATTTATGGTGCTATCTTTTTAATTAGTTTATGAATAATGATCAACATTTTGATTAATGTGGTTGTGTGTTGTTTAATTAATAGATTTGTAGTTCGATTGTGTTAACTAATTAAAAATGTTGTTGTTCTTATACTTTTATTTTGAATTTTTATTATATTTTGGTTACATAAATAGGTAATTAATTTGAAAATTTTATAACTTATTAGAAACTTTACTTGTATAGCGGTTTTTTTTAACAAAAGAAGAACCGAGGACTCGAACCAAACCGGCTCATTTCAAACGGGGCGAGTAAGGTTCCGTTCCTATTTCGAAACTTGATATACCCGGACTAAACCTACCTGTTAAATGGAACCGGCGGTTCTTGAAAATTTATCAACTACCTGTGTCCACCCATGCTTTTGGGGGTGGGGGGTGGGGGGTGGAGACCAGTTCTACGAATAAGAGTAACAATTAAGATAAAAAATGATTGGACTAGGTGATTGAGGATTCAACATGAAGCTCCCAATTTTTGTTTCTTATGTGGAATTCCGAGACATGGAGATACCTTTTTCCCATCTGACCAAGACTATAACGGTGGCCGATCATGGCAGCTACGTAGTGGAAGGTTTAATCTGTAAGGAAAAGAAAGTGGTTGGTATTCAGGAAGAAGCTAGAACCAAGAAAGTACAGAGTGGTTGAAGTATATAGCTAGTGGTGAAGCCACTCAAGCGAGGATAAACGTAAATGGCAAGGATCCAAAAAACTTGCAAGCACCACCTAACATAGTGACGGAAATCTTTGTAACGAAGGGGATAGATGGGGAGGAGGCGAGCTCACCTTTGGCGGAGGCTGATCAAAACGTGAATTCCTTCCCGGTGATTGAAAAAACGAGGGTCTTTTATTCTAGTTATTTTCCTATTTCTCAGCACATTTTAGTTACTTTTATTTCTATTTCTAGTATCATGTGCACACGTGCAGATGTGGCATTGGTGGATTCTACCATATTGAGGGGTTAACATGTTAGTTCTCTATTACGCGATCTTTCAACTTTGTGTCTCACCCGGTGTAGCCTCTAGTTTGATGACATTGTCTCTTGTCTCTTCTAAAAATCGTTCTAGGTGTCTAATAAGTCCCCGCCTAGGAGCTAGACGGTGGTCGGGCGTCCCGATTTTCGACTAGGCGATCTGACTAAGGATGTTTTTACTTGGACTGTAATTTGTCCCAGACCAGACCAGACCAGTCCAGACCAGTTCAGACCAGACCAGACTAGACCAGACTTGGATAGTTATAAAAATACAAAGAAACCAGACCAGACCAGTTCAGACTAGACCAGACCAAATCAGACCAGACCAGCAAATTACAGTCCAAGTAAAAACATCCTAATTGATTTTACGTTTAGGTGAATTAGTCGACCGTCTATGACACCTAGTTGAGAGCTCGGAGCGCCTAATCGGTCGCCTAGCGTATCTAGATTCGTTGAACATTACTTTACTTTTTAATTATAATTTTCTAAGTGATATAAGTACTTTAACTTTAGCCATAGATATAAAAAAAATGAAGTTGTAAAGTAAGATAAAAACTATATATGTTTGTATATATACCTAAATTTCATTATTATTTATATTTATAAGATAATGAAGTTAAGTGATTTGTTATCATATACTACGTATACATATGTGTGTGTGTGAATTTGTTAATCACCTATATATGATTAAATTTCATGTGTTAATGTATGTGTATATATGTATTTTATACACATAAAAATATAATATTACTTATAATATTTATGCAAAGATGTAGATAAAAATGTCATTTCTATGTCTCTGACTAGTCCCCGACTAGGCTCCCGCCTAACCGTCTAGGCGCAAGGCGTTTGGCTGATGCCCGACTAGCGCCTAGCGCCTTTTAGAACATTGTCTCTTGTTATCATTATTAATAATAAAAAATAGTAAAAACTCATTAAAAAATAAAAAAAAAGGAATTATTACTCATCATAATGCCAAAATTATCATTGAATCTGTCATTATTATTACATTACTACAAATTTTGGCAGATTTCCAACCAGTGATGGGAGGTGGTGGTGGTGGCAGAGGCGGCGGCGTTTTTTTTTTTTTTTGCATTTTTAATTTTTTATTTAATTTAAAAAAATAAAAAAAATTATAAATACTCTATGAATTTTTAATAATTTTTGACTTTTTTATTATTTTTTTACGTTTTTTATTATTTTTTTATGAATTTATTATTAATTAAGACCTTTCAAAAGGCTCAAGGACATGTTTGTCCTCCAAATACACATAAAATAGTCCTACTAGATGGAAGAAAAAACATATATGTAGTCTTGTGCTCTTGGGTCACTTTTTTGATATATATAGGAAATTAACTCTATAAAATATGTTTGAGACAATTATGTTAACACAAAATTTATTCAAATCATTAAAAGTTGTTTGTGGACTATTGTAAAATATCTTTTCATCTTCTTTTTTTTTTTTACAATTTTACGTGTTCTGTTTTCTTTTTAAGATTTGTCAATTTTCTTATGGGTGACAATGTATGCATTTTTGTTGATCTGTTAAACTGTTTCTCTTGCACGATTTTATATACTATTAATTTTTTAAAATATTAATTATAGCGAAGGTGTTTCGATGTTTGGCATAAATAGCCAAGTGTCTTATGGTCTGATGGCATTGTTGTGACACTTCCAAAGAGGAGGTCACAAGTTCGATTCTCATCCCAGTTCAAGGATATTGGCTTTAACAGAACAAATACTATAGGTAGATACTATAGGTTAGAACGATTTGCCAAAAAAAATGTTTGACATGCATAATGAGAATCTTCTTTAAAGTGCTCTACGTGCAGTGGCGGATCTAGGATAAAAAGTTATTGGGGGCAAAGCAGTTAAGAAATGGTTTAGAGGAACAAAAATTAGTAGTATAATACTATTAACAAAACACATCGCAATTGTTCTTGCTGAATTTTCTTTTCTTGAAAAACTTTTTTAAACATACTACTGTATTTTTCAAGAAAAAAATACCATCACAAAAAATATCATCAATTTATATTACACACATTAGTCTTCATTATTTTCATAGTGGGGAAGCAAATCTCTACGGTTCCCGTGACAAGCGCTATTAGAGCTACATACCCGATTTTAATGAAAGATCGATAATCAAATATATATTCAATAAGTCTTGAAAAGTGGAATTAATATTACATTATTATCATTATGACTATTATTATATACTCCGCATTTAGTTAGTTTGGTAACACTGAAATAGGGTGAATCGACTAATATAATTCTGCTGAAATTCATGAAGTTCTCGCTAAAGTGACTGGATTGACTGGTTCTGTTAGATTTATGCAAAAAAAATATATATTCAAAACATATTTTATTAATAAAATAAAAAAATAATTACATGAAAATAGCTAAAATGATCCCTTAAAGTAACTTCAACCAACAGCCGGAAAAATAATTTCAACCTTGCTTTTTCTTATTATTACACAATACAACGCACGTAATCCAAAGTTACGTGTTTGAAGAAAAAGTTCACTAGTTAACTGATAAGTCTGATAAGTCAAAAAACAAGATCACTAAATGAACTCTAATTTAACTACTTAAAATCACAATCACTTATCATTTTTATATTTGACTATCAAAACGACATTTTTCTAATAATATTAACTATTTTAATAAGTCATCAACTAAAATAAATACATAAGATGTAAGACTTCTTCACTAATCACTAACTTTAAATTAGAGTTATGGAAGTGATGGGAACTTTAGATTTTCAAAAACATAACATCAAACAGTTACAAACAAACAATTAAAAATCCTAATATATTGAATCTCAGTATCTCACTAATAAATTAGCAACACACTCGTTGCTCTTCCTACCTCAGCACATGGGTTTTGACATCTTGATTTCAGATTTTATCATTTTAGATGAGCTAGGAGGCTGCTTTATTGGGGGCAACGATGATATTTGATTGGGGGCAATACATGGTTTTTTTTGTATATTCTAATGCATTACATGGACTTAGTGGGATTGTATTGGGGGCAGCTGCCCCCTCTCGTTCCTGAATAGATCCGCCCCTGTCTACGTGTAGTGTTTTACGAATTCATATTTCCCATTTTTTATTGGATAATTATATTGCTCTTTTTTATTTAAACATACCATTGATATCTCACTAGAAAATAATTATTTCTATATTATGTCTTTATACATAATTTTATTCTACTAATTTGTTTAAAGAAGTAATTTATTTTTTTAAGATTGAATCAGCCCATAAAAAACCACGAGATGGAGACATGGAGTAAATGGTCTCATTCTTTACCCCGGAAAATAAAGCAATGGTGCATTCTTTGATCTAAAATTTTACAAAATCTGGAGTATACAAAAACCAGATGAAATGGTGATTTTTTTTTTACTTAATGCAGAAGGATGAAGGATCTTCGGGCAATGGAAAGCTTGACCACATGTTAACAAATTGGAACCTAAACATCACAATTTCCATGCATGCAAATGCTAGTCAAGTAACAATTTGTTTTCTTACAATGGACAATGTTACTCTAATTAAGGGATTAGTGATAATTGCATATTTATTTATAGTAATTTATAGAAAGTATATTATATACCTCTGTTAGTTTATTCGCGTATAATTCGCGTATAATACACTAAAACATATAATTCGCGTATAATACTCCCGTTTATGAATTTTTCAAAAAATTCAGAAAAATTCGCGTACTTTAAGAATAAAATGTATAATACACGTACCGTACGTATTGATACGTATTTTATTCCCGTATAATACTCTTGTTTATGAATTTTTCAGAAAATTCTGGAAACCTCACGTACTTTAAGCATAAAATGTATAATACACGTACTGTATGTATTGATACATATTCTATTCAAAAACACACACCATTAAACGGAAGCCTAATGTAGTGATACAACTGAAACGAAATGTTTAGCTGCTCAATATTATTTATATTGCTTAAAAAAATTATGCCTTATATGTTCGTTAATTGTTTCATAGTCATTACATTTAATAAATTAGCTTCTTAAATTCGTAATCCTTTTCAATACTACTATTGTACTACTAATGTTCTCCACACATACCAAGACTCCAAAGAGATCGTAAAATGTTGTGGCGGCTCACGAAACTCGCGGTCACAGTAATATCAACTATTCTCTAATAATATTTCTCTACTTCTACTCAAATAGGCAATGCCATTTTTATTACTTATTGTACTTATGTGTTCAAATCCGTATATATGATAAAATTATTCCGTACATTTTAAATTGTTGAAGAATGTGGTTCAAATGCTAAATAACTTTTTATTTCTATCATTAAATTAGTATATAAGACACATATTATATGCCGTATTTTTAAATTGTGAAACGTTTAAAACGCGTCCGTATCTTTATATATTTCACGAACGTATGAAACATATATTAAGCCGTATTTTATATAATTATACACGAACGTACGTATTATTGTATTATTCACGAACCGTATATTACTAACAAAGTTATATACACCATCAATTCCCTTTTTATTACTTAGAAAATTTCAATTGTACTTGTTTTGCGTCTGGATTGATTTAACCAATAACAATCAGTAAAATGAATAAGTTAGAAGCTTCTCTGGGGTTGACAAAATAATGAAACTATTTGATTCCCGAGCATTTTGAAGCTAAGGTTCAAAACCTTTTTCATTGGCATCGTATTCAGGATGGTTTCAATTACTATCATTATATATAAACAATATGCATAATTAATCATGATACATCATTATTAATTGGTACTCAAAGAAGGCAAAAAAGGTGTTATCAACTTATTGCTCTTAAATCATTGCTGAACAATGTAATGCGCCACTGCCACCATAGATGATGTCCACTAAATACGGTATATCTAGCAGACTAGCAAGTTTCCGTTCTCCATATCATACAAAAAGGTTATCATAGTTTTACCGCATAAGTATACACCATTATACCACATAGTACAAAAGGTAATAATACTCTTAACTAGTTAAGATCTTGAATCAATATTTTATCCACATATTAACATGCGGTGTAAAACTAAAAGGTGAAACTCCGACATCTAAAAATAGAAAAAGTTACAACAATTTCACTTCAGACACTACCACCTACCCTTCGAGGGACGGGTTTGTAAAGCACGACTGTAACATATTTTGAACGGAAACGCTGTGTTGTGCCTAAAGCCACGACAGTTCTCGGCGTTTCATTTTTGCTGCTCTCAATGTAAAGATGATTTAGGACCACATTCTGTGGTGGCGTGAGCGCTCCGCATTGGTTACTTTCTGCTGGCGATTCATTTAGCACGGTCTGGTGAAGGTGGGGAGGTAATGGTGGTGGGTCCTGCCCCTCATCTGCGTTCCCGGGATAGGCATTGTTGTAGCTTGAATCGGGCGATCTTGGAACTTCAAATCCCATCACAGTCACCTCACCCTAACAAACATAGAATATGTTTAGTCACTTCATTTTTTGGATTTACCAACAATAATTTCAACCATAAAATGTGGCCCCATTAGGTAGCTGTGTAGCATTTATTAGCTTATTGCTTATCAGCAGAATGAGTATCCTTACCCATCACACTAACCTATTTAAAAGCATGAGCTGAGTTGGTTAATCATGAGAACAGTTGCTGAAATGATGATAAATGACACTTCAGCCCCTCATTTTTAGTTATTATCTCACTTAAAATCTTAGCTAATTCAGCATATATTTAGTAATTTCATCAATAATATCAGCAAAATACAGTCCTTTCATCCAATTCCACCAATTCTACACACAAAACGAGCTATAGATTTTGAAGCTTACATGATCTTCGCCATATTGGCAGTTCATTTTGAAGGAATGGTACTATGGTTATATGAGTGCTGCAAGGAACCTGAAATATTATCCTTCTATCAGCACAGAGGATAAAATAGATTAATACATCATGAATAAACAATAATCCCAAACTTCAATAAAAGTAACCATCAAAACATCTACATAGTACTACTTAATCAAATGGCATAATTTAGGAGGGATAAACCAGAAAAGTCACATCGATGATATACAGCGTGAATGGAAAAAGGGAGTAAGAGACCTTCCAAAGATTAGAAAAAAATATATGGCTGAGTTGATGGTTCCTACTCTTTACTCCCTCTTAGGATGTTTTCTTTTGGACTGAAATTTGCTGGTCTGGTCTGGTCTGGTCTGAACTGGTCTGGTAAACGTCTAGTCTCTGTGTATTTTAATACTACGGAATTGTGGTCTGGTCTGGGACTGAAAACAGTCCAAAAGAAAACATCCTTATAGAGCCACAATTATAATCACCGATTCACCACAAAAGCATATAATTCTCAATTCTTTATGACCTCATATGCTTCTTTCTTGTAATCCCTCTTACAATACACATTCAGACTCAGTAGATTGCTGGTTTACTCTTACTCAGAATGCATCATAAAATTTATACTCCATAGAATGAATCTCAATCCGATTCATAAACATCAACTGATGACCTGTTAAATGATCCAACCTTTTTGCTAATACAAAGGCTGGTTTGCTATGGGGATTTCGGAGGTGAGAGAAGAGGAGGTGTGCTATTATTTGTCAAATATTTTCTTCATTCAGTTTTTTTTAAATAATCTTCATTTAGGTAATTGGAATTTAAGTGGAGATAAAAATAAAAAACAACATAGAAATAATATGTATGTGATTTTACCAATCATATAGTTCTTTCAGATCTAATTCTATCAAATAGATATAATGAAGTAAAAAAATCAACCCTCCCTTCCCCTGCCCTCCAAAATCCCAGAACCAAACAAGCCTTTAGGAGGCATGACACCAGATAAGTTATTTTGCTTTTGTTCAGGAATGCGGTATTTTGAAAATAACTCGAAAATATTGGACTAGATTATTAAGAAACAAAGCCCAAGATCCATCTCCTATTTTGCATCTACCCACCTCTTATTCAGAATCAGCAATATGACTCAGGCCAATCTTTAAACACATCTATAATTTTTTCCATTTTCTTAATTAAATAAGATACACATGCAGCAGGAAATTGAGGGTATAAAATTTACAACACGGTGACAAACACACCCTCACACAATATTAGCATAATTAATCCCCTTTTATGTATATAAAAGTAATAATGATTTTTATTTAACTTAAGATTCATAAATATGTTACTCATTCCAGCAAAAAAAGCGATCTGTCAGAAAAGTGAAAAACGCCATTGCAAGGGTGATCAAGCTAATTAGATATGCAAAAGACCCCCATGATATGAACCTACAATTGTTTTAAGTGCAGCTATGAAGCTTGATATGAGTATCATGATGGCATGTAAAGTTCAGTAACAAAAAACCAACAGCAATATAACTCAGGAAGATCGGGGATGATAAATTTGTGTTATCTTTATTTATGGTTATGCATAATTGCGCATACTCTGATCACTAGCAAAAACAGATCAACAGAAAGAAATTATATCCAAAACATGACCCTATGATGCACAATGCAAAGAACTTGGTAGTGTTTTCACATTTCAGAAACCGAAACCCTCAAAAACTTTTAAATAAAAAGTTTCAAGACTGTTTACAATATCCTCTCAACACTGTTTTTGCAATTTCCACAATTATGAAAATATGAAACTACTACGGAGTATATGACGGTATAAATATTACGGAGTATTTCTTGAAAAAATACATAAGTAGTGTTCTTTTGTGATTTTTAAAGAACTTGTTAACTTGTTTCACTTTCATTTTCTGTTTTTCACATCATAATCTAAACTTAGCAGGCAAGCATGCAAACCTAACTGGTTAATCATTAATATGCATGCACAAAGTATATTGTGGCAACTGGCAAGTGACAGCTAAAGAAGTAGAGTTTAGAAACGAGTACTTGAGCAGTTGAGCTGTAAAGAAAATTCTAGTTTGGCCTTTCAAAAATAATATCCGTTTTCCTGATCCACCTCTCTCTTTCTCAACTTAAGGAAATGATTTGACACATTTGATCCACCAGAGAAAAAAGTGTATTAGTCTGGTAGTTTTCTTTGCAAAAATGAGCTAAAAGCAAAAAGTATCTTATGATTTGGGGCATGAAGAGCATATATGTATATTACACAATGGCGAAAACACGGGGTAGATCGAAAGAATACAAAGTCACTGACCTAACCTATAGCATAGGGTGTGTGGTATAGCCTAGCAAAATGATATGAGTATAAGATTATATTTCAGCAATAGTATTAGTTTTGTATCATTGCCATTTCTAGTAGCTTCTTATTAGTATGGATATTTTATTATGGTTAACATTCCTAGTATTGTAATAGGCTAGGACTTATTTACATGCGCACTAAGATTTGTGAGTAATGTAAATAAGGGCTTCACATCATTAATAATTAATAATACAATATAATTCCAAGCTTAAACATGAGACCTTGACAAGGTCAAATCTTTAGGGTTTCTGCCAAGAACGAGACTCTTTCCTGCCATATCTAATATCCAGACCGCGCTCATAACACAAAACCTTAACTAACAATATTAGCCGCCTTATCACAAGAGAGAACCTTTATCAGCAAAAACATTCATTATTTAGTCAAACCAATCCTCATAACACATATAAGCATCAACAGGCCCTTACCATTCTCCTCCCACAGTCATATACTACTATTTTCCTTTCTAAACCTATACTCTGTATTTTTCACATGCAATTCTACAAGTACCACATTTACCTAATCAATTTTATCATGAGTGAACAATTCTCATTATTCCAGTTCTTTGAACACTTGATATAATATCCAAACTCTTAGAAAGAGAACACGGATCACTTCAACTAGCATAACCAATCGTGGTATATGTGTGTGTGTGGTGAGAGAGATTTTGGTTCAAATAAGTACTCCCTAGGTGAAAAATAAGAACCAAAGTTGGCCATTGGGTTGTAAAAAATGAAGGATCAGATCATTTTAATGCCAAAACACATTGGCATTCTTTTAAATACGGAGACCTTTTAATGAAAACGCAATATAAAAGTGTATCTCCCTGTTTAAAGGCGCAATACAGCACTTGAACATAATAAACGTGCAAAAGTGCATCAATGGCTGAAACAAGAGATGCAACAATAAAAATGTGTGATATTCAATTTTATATATGCACAAAGCATTACAATGGACTTTTGTCATTAAAAGCCGCACATTTGATATTCCCTTATTTAAGATTATGCTACGGTGTATTATGAATAAAGAATTACCTAATCCATCCATTTTTAACGATTAAAGGCCAAGAGGGTTTTATAATTCAATAGAAAATATAAAAAACTCAAAATCTAATGTGAATTCAAATTGAATAAGAGAGTCTAAACTCCCCCAAATGTAGAAAGAAACTAAGTTACCAAGACTGTCGATCCAGAACTTCCTCAATCAACTGCTTCTGCTTATATACCTACAGTTCCAAAGATGCAAAGAAGAACCACACATGATATGATCCACTTAAAAAATAACAAATTGCTGGAGCCTAAAGAGTGGAAATAATTCATTCTATCAATAACAATTTTTTAATAAAAAGAAGATGAATAAGTTAAAGGGGTTGAAAGTCCTAAACCAAATAAAATATAAACACGCACAAACCAAGCTAAACCTGAACCAAGAATTAAGTAAAGAACTCAAAAAATACACCAAAACGAGAAAATTCAAAATAAAATACTCCAGGACAGAGCAGACATCATCTGACAAACGAAACAAAGATGAAACAGCAAAAATAAAAACAAAAACCTAGGTGATGAGAAGCGGAACGCAAATACTAACCATAAACGAATTTTAAAACGAATGAACAACCAATTGGTATGTAAAAGATTCAAAAGAAAAAATACTTACTATGATTCGCACTCTGTGACTATGAAGGTGTTCTTTCGAAAATACGACTTCAGCTCTTGGGCTGAAGAATTAACTTGGACTAGGGATTCCGTCGAGAGTCGATTGCCGTCGCCCAATCCAGCAGTCCACCACTCTGAAGGGACCGAACACTTCTTACTTTCCTGGTCGGCTAACCATCTTCTATCTTCTTTTGTTTCTTTTGTCATGAATTCTATAATTTTTTTATTTTCATATTTTAAAATATTATTTGTTTTGTAAAACTAATAAACTTTTGTGGAGGAATATTCATAAATAATTAGCGTTGAAATTAATATAAAATTAGGGAACTCAAAAGCTATGAAATTTTAAGTTCTAAATGGATAGTTTTCAATATTTCAGATTTTATACTACACATTTATCTTTTAAGTCCCGAATTAATAATTCATCTATCTTTCATGTTCTGATAAAGATCATTTTTTACCTTGTATTCATACACCATATTCACCATTATGTTCACCTATATTTTTGTTTATGCACAAGAAAAAGAATATTTGAGAGTTGTAGAATATTTTAATGTGATCAATTCAATTTTACTATCCTTATATTGTATTTACTACTTCAGCCTTTATTAGATGGGCCACCTAAATACTAGGGCCCAAATTATTCCTTATTCTTTATATGCACACTATCCTAGGTAAGGATGTTTTTACTTCGACTGTAATTTGCTGGTCTGGTCTGGTTTCTTTGTATTTTTATAACTATCCAAGTCTGGTCTGGTCTAGGACAAATTACAGTCCAAGTAAAAACATCCTAATACTCCTTCATAACATTTATATCTTCTCACTTTCTTTTTTCGTCGGTAACTGATGGAGTATATGGCCCAGGGACCCCCGGCCCATAGACTCCCACTTCTCCTAAACAAGTCTATTAAGCCCAGAGAACGTCTCAGGCCCAAATACAACGGCCCGAGCCTCAAAGTAGCCCAGAATACACACTGGGTGCCTTCGGCCTCCTTGGCCGAAGGCTCCGAAACCCACAGGATAGCCTTCTCTGGCATAAGAAGCTGCTGAGAGGAAACCGGCGAAGACATGAGCCTTCGGCATTCCCACGCCCTCGGCACCAGGGGAAGCCTTCGACTGAACCAAGCCTTCGGCTACACAGGGAGCCCTCGGCTACACAGGGAGCCCTCGGCTGCACAAGGAGCCCTCGGCTACACAAGAAGCCTTCGGCTGAACAGGCTCAATCATCAAAGATTCCTTTTAGAGACAGCCAACCACCGCATTTAATGCCACGTCACATCCGCCAACCGCAATCAATGCGGTTGACGTACCACTGCCGGTGCCACTAGGCTGATGTGACCCTTCGGCCGTTGGATTACTGACACGTGTCCTCTCATCGCATTTATTGCTGCTATAAATAGCAGCCCACTTCTCCTTGTAATGGACAGGATCTACATCTCAACTCCACACGCTGAGTTCATTTAATAAATCGACTCTCTCTCCTCCTATTTTGCTCTGACTTCTCTCTAGTTATTCCCGCAATAACCCCTCGGATAAGATACCCCTCGGGTAGACTATCCATCATTTGGTGCTTTCATTGAGAGCTGAACTATCAAGTAAGAAACCCTCCCCCTCTACCAAATACGAAACACTCACCAAAAATGGGAAGAACCACCCGTGCCCAATCCAAGACCCTCGAGGAAAACTACGTAGCCCCCGGCGAAACTAACGGGGTTGAGGCCTCCAACAGGCTCTTAGTACCCGAGGGTGGTGTCATCCTCGAACTAGAGCAAGCCACCGCTGACCTACGTCAGCAGCTGCAGAAGAACACCCCCGATGCCCGCATTGGCCTTGATAATCGAAGGAGGGATCGGAGTGAGAACCAAGTTCCTCCTCCGGCCTCGGCCATCGATCTTCAGGCAGCCTTTGCGGCCTTTGTTCAGAACATGGCTCTCAATTCCGGGGCCCTCGCCTCTCAGACACCCCTTCAGCCCTATGCTGGAGGGAATGTTATCAACCTACCACCACTCCCTCCTTTGTTCAACAATCCTCCCCCGGGGATTGGCAATGCCGAGGGGGTTATGGCGCAGGACACCGCCTCCCAAGAGGCCCAATCCAGGGATAAACGTCCCTTGATGAAGGAGAAACCCCGGACCTCTGCACTTGAGAGGCTTGGGGGAGCTCCCATACGCCGAGGGGTCCAAGACCGCCTCGGCAAGCAGGAATTCAGCAGGCCTCAGGAGAGCGGAGCCTCCGCTTCGGGAGCCGAGGGCATACCTCCGCCCCGAAGCAAGGGCAAAGCCATCCTCCATGCCGATGACGCCAGACACCAAATCAATCAGGCGCAATCCTTCCGGGCCAACCCCCAAGGGGTTGCCCCGAAGGATCCCAAGGACGAAATCATCGAGGCCCTCCTCCGCCAACTCGAGGAGAATCGTCAGGCACCCCCGACGACTTCCACAGCGAGGCCAGATCCAGAGTACGCTGACCTCCGGGCACAGGTGGAGGAAATGAAACGTAAACTTGCCGAGGGCTCAGGCGAGCCCCTCATTCAGCTCCGTACTAGAACACCCTTCACCCCAAGGGTGTTGGCGGCCAAAATCCCCCACAAATATCGGGGGCAACCCATCAAGCCGTATGAGGGGAAGACGGATCCCCAAGAGCATTATAGCCGCTATCAAAACAGCATGATGATGATGGGGGCATCGGATGAATACTTGTGCCGTTGGTTCCTTTCCACCTTGGAGGGACCAGCGTATGAGTGGTTCAACCGGTTGCCCGAAGGCAGCATTGATTCTTGGCAAGAACTTGCCCACCGCTTCCTTACGCAATTTGCTGGGAGGCATCGCTCAAAGAAACACTTCTCTCACCTCCTAAACGTGAGACAACAGAAGGAGGAAACCCTTCGGAGTTTCCTGGAACGCTGGAGGCAGGCCTCCCTCGAGGTCGAAGGCGCCGATGACAGGACGCTGATGGCCCTCTTCCACACCGTCCTCCGTAACGGTAACTTCTCCCGAAGCCTTATCACTGATCCCCCCCGCGATTATACCAAGGCCCTTCAGCGGGGGGACCGGTATGCTGAAGCGGAGGAAATCGAGAAGGACCGCCGCAACACGGACCCCTCTCAGAAGAATGAAGGCAGGAATCGGCCCGGAGGGCCTCCCCCTCCGGCCAACCGCGAGGCCCAATACAGCGATCGCTCCCGAGGTGGCCAAGCCAGACCCGGGGGCGGTTACAAAAACAACCCGAAAGCATGGGCACAACCCGTCCTCCTTGAGCACCCACGTACTCCCTTGACGCATCCCGTCAGCGTCATTCTTGATCATGCGGAAGAGCGGGGGCTCGTGGAGCGAGACTCCCGGACACCCCTCGAAATTTATGCCATCGGCCCCGATGAGCCCTATTGCCGTTTCCACCGCCACCATGGACACAAGACCGACGACTGCCATCAGCTGAAGAACGCCATCGAGAGGCTGATACAGGCGGGCCACTTGTCTCAATTTATCAGGGGCCCTCCTCCCCAGGGCCCCCTTCACCATCAAGGACCACCGCCGAAGGCCAACAAATGGGTGAACCCCAACACCATCCCCTTGGGGAACCCACAGGGAAAGAAGCGAGAAATAGGGGGCCTCGACGAAGAGGGGGAGGGCTCCCATCAACAATACAAGCGCCATATTCATATGATCAACGGCGGCAACACCGGAGGCGATTCAACGAGCCAAAGGAAGAAATGGGCACAGTCCCTTTACATTGGGGAAGTCAATCACGTGCCCCCAACTAAACGGCCGAGGGCGGATCCAATTTTCTTCACAGATGCGGACCTCCCCTCGGGTTCTCTGCCGCATAGGGATGCCCTCGTCATCCGCACTGAGATCAACGACGCCATCATCCACCGGACTTATGTCGACACGGGGAGTTCTGTCAACGTCATGTACCTCAGCACTTTTCAAGAGTTGGGACTCGACAGAGGGTCCCTTCGGCACATCAACACTCCCCTCTCCGGGTTCACGGGGGACAGCATCGACGCCGAGGGCGTCATCACACTCGTGGTCGAATTTGGCGACGGATCCCATAGAGCCAAGCTCGAAGTGGAGTTCGTCGTCGTCAACCTCGACTGCGCACATAACATCATCCTCGGCCGGCCTGCCCTCGAGGATTTGGAGGCCGTCATCCCCATGAGGCACCTCTGTCTCAAGTTCCCCACACCTACCGGCATCGGTTATTCGAGGGGGAATCAAAAGCTCTCCAGGGCCTGCTACCTTCAACTCACCAAGAAGGTTAGTAAAACTGAATTTCGAATTGACACCATCACCGCCAAGGCCCTGGAAGAAGAAGAAGGTAGGCCGAGGGCTGAGCCTGCCGAGGAGACCGAAGATTTCTTGCTCGATCCGGCCAAGCCGGAGAGAGTCCTGAAGATTGGAGCCAAGCTCCCCGAAGACTTGAAGGCTGGCATCACCAAGGCCCTCCGCGCCTACTCCATTGTTTTTGCATGGGGGCCGGAGGATATGCCAGGAATTGACCGAAGGGTTATCACCCACCGCCTGGCGGTGAACCCTTCGGCCAAACCAGTACAGCAACGAAGACGACCCCTCTCGGCCGAGAGAAGGGAGTTCGTGAAGAAGGAGGTATCTATGCTCCTCTCCATCAAACACATTAAGGAGGTGAAATACCCTTCTTGGTTGGCAAACGTAGTCCTCGCACAGAAGCCCCCTACCTTCCGCATGTGCGTGGACTACACTGATCTGAATAAGGCGTGCCCTATGGACCCCTTCCCTCTGCCAAACATTGATCAACTGGTGGATGAGACCGCGGGATGCGAGATCATGTCATTCCTCGACGCGTTCCGCGGATATCATCAAATCTACATGCATGAGGAAGACGCTGAAAAAACCGCCTTCATGACACCCGAAGGTGTCTTCTGCTACCTTGTGATGGCCTTCGGCCTCAAGAATTCAGGCGCCACCTACACCCGAATGGTGGCCAGAGTCTTTCAAGCTGTCCTAGGACGCACCATGGAGGCTTACGTTGACGATATGATCGTCAAAAGTAAGAAGGCAAGCACTCACGCCGACGACCTCCGGGAGATTTTTGCCATCATGCAAAAATTCAACCTCCGGCTAAATCCAAAGAAATGCACCTTCGGCGTGCAGGGAGGAAAGTTCTTGGGCTACATGGTCAGCCGAAGGGGTATTGAGGCCAACCCCGAGAAGATTCAGGCCATCATCAACATGGAGCCTCCACGCAA